AACAAAAGTGAAAGTTCTTTAAGCGTGTAAACCTCAAAGGAGAAAAGCTTGACAGCAGAGATACTTTACTGTTATTTTCTATTGTGATTAATTCTTCTGAACTGCTGATAAATTATGAAATAACCTTTCGCTTGATTTGTGACCCGAATCATTTCCGAGAGGCACCAGAGGACACATTTTGACTCGCCGCTGACAGCTTCAGTTCTCATTTGATTAAACGTACAAATAGAGTTTTAGTGACATGATTAATATATAACAAGATTTATTTTCTTCTCCTTTTATCGTTGAATAAACACGTCGACAGCAGCTGAGGGTGAACGTGTGTTTGGCTTCGTTTGCTCACTTCTTAAGTTGGGAGGAAAAAAAGCGCCTATCTGGAGCCAAATCCTGAAATTCCCATGAAAAATCTGGGAGGAAGATATTTCTGCTGTGCATATTTCCTCAAATGTTTCCTCAAATAATGATGTAGAAGAGCAGCTCAATCAGACAGCATCCATCATTCAGCAGCTTCTCTGCCAAAACGCAGCAAAAACTGGAGCGTTTAATGTTTTTCAGTAACTTTCCTTGAAAAGCAAATGACTAAAGAATATTTTATAAAAGAGGGGAAACACAAAGAGACGATATTGCTCAACATAAAGTGCTGAGAAAACTTATTGCTCAATACAGATTTTGCATATTTTAGCACTTAAATACTTCAGGGAGAACATTTTGTTCTTGTTTAAGTTGTTGAGTAGAAAACATTGTGATTAACACTCTTTGATTTTTTTTTCAAATAAACAGAAATATCTTTGAATCCCGTTCAGACTGTTAGACATCAATCAAATGTGTTGTCTTTTAAATATTTTTTGTCCGACTTCATTTTGCATCCAAAGTTCTCTTTACGGCCGAAACGATTGATTGTGATTGATTATTAAAATAATTGTCGTCTAGTTTAGTCATCATTTAATCATTAATTGGAGTTTACAGACTCAGAAAAAGGAATATGCATTTCTGACAGAAAAATGTTTATATTATTATTTAAAAGAGGAATCGTATTTGAAAATTTAATAACTGAATGCAGAAAAATTCCTGAGGTTAAATCAGAAATCTGTAGAATGTGTCATTTTTTAACCAACTGATCGATTAATCATTAAAATAATCAATAAGTTTGTATAAGCCTGGTTTTCTTCAAGCTCCAGAATAATTGAAAATTATTACTTTTAAATATTAACAGTTTAGTCCGATTTGTCAAATTAACAAATTATCCTTCACAAAAAGGTTAATTGAGACTGAAAACTTCTGTCAACAAGTTTTAGGAAAAAGAAAACAATTAATCGTGCAAATTGACATTACTGAGTTTCCTTTAATTTATAATGCAAAAATACTTTTTTAAGTCATAATTTGATTTAATTTAAATGGCAGCAAATAAAAGACATAATAAAAGTGATATTTTGTGTCAACATGCTTCTTGCTTTGTAAGCTGAACATGAGCACTCCTCCCTCCCTCCGTCTCTCTTTCCTTTCCTCCTCCTGTCAGGAAGAGGTGAACAATATGACCTTTAGTCACAGCGATAACATTCTCCTTTCACATTCTCGTTGGTTTGTTTTCACTCGCAGCAGCTCTTGTTGTTCTTAGAAATGATCTTCTGGGCACCTGTGATTGACGAGCCTCTGCAGGGTCCAACACGCACGTGCGTGAAAAACACACTTCCCGATAAGTTTTCTCCTCTCACGTGCCACCGTCTGATTTGTGATTTTTTTTTAAATTAGTGTGAACAGTGGAAAGCTGCATGAAATTCATTTGAACCCATTTTGCCCGCATGTGTTGAGACCGGAAATGAGGGTAAATTAGAGCCAAAATGAGGCCCCTGGGTAAATCACGTGTTGGAGGCTCAATGCCTCCAGACCCCCCAAGTATTCAGACAGTATGGATACTGTGCACAGACAGCAGAGTGCACAGAAAGCTTTGTATGGAGCAACATTGGGGCCATAATGTTTGCTCAAAAGAAGTAAAATTATGTAGAAACTGAAAAGTACTTGTGTGATGTAAGCTAACTATTGTTAATGTTAGCAGATATGTTAAAAACATAAACAAATACACAAAAAGCTTTATATGGAGCTACATCAGGGCCATAAAATTTGTTCAAAACTAAAAAATTGAAACTCAAACATTATTTTGAAACTTTAAAAAAAAAATTCAGCAACCTTTTTTGGAAATGCAAAAAATATAGTTTGCATTTCAAAATCCAAACTTTATTTTCTAGTTTGCTACTCTTGCAAATTTAAAATCAGTCGCCACAAAAACACTGGTGTGATTTTATTTATTGATGCTAATGGTAGCAGATATGTTAAGAAATAGAGCAGCTTAGGAATGATGAAGAATCTGGTGTTGACATGATGGTATGCATGGCCAGTGAACTATTTTGTTTTTTTGGTTGTTTTTTTTAAAATTTGTGGTATTTTATGACCTCATTGCAGGAACTTATACTCACATTTACAATCCAACACCATTCAAATCTGAACAATGGGGTTCCGTCTCCAGGTAAACAAAACAGAAGAAAAGTCAACATTTGTATTTTTTTCAGTTGTTTGAAACGAAGATGTTGCAACATCACAGCGCTGGGTCTCACAACGTTAAATCCTCTGAGATGTTTCCTCAGAGAAACTGACATTTCCATCACACACACAGATCCGTTGAGCATCCAGAGTCTGGAAAACCTCCAGAGAACCAAGCAGCATTCAGCTTCTATCCTCCACAAATCTGCAACAAAAGCAGCCAAAACACAAAACAGTTCCTTTAAATCAAAGCTAAAAACCCACATGTGAAGAGCTGCTTTTCAACACTGACCAACACATGTATCATGATTTTGATGATTATGCTGCTGGTTTTCTGATTTGTTGACCATCTGATGTTTTTTATGACTTTGTATTTTCGTGGTTTTATGATGTAAAGCCCTATGTTGCTGAAATGTGCTATAGAAATAAATTGAACTATGTAAGAGTGAGTTGAGCCATTTTCCTACTGATTTGCTCTTTAAACATTGTGAAAACCAATGAAGAAGATGTAAAGTATTGATTTGGTAACTGTAACCACAGTTGATATATTTGCATTATTTGTCTGAAAGAAAACTGTCACCACAATAAGCAATAAGTTAATTAATTGTATAGATTAAGGCAATATCAATATATTTATTGTTTTTCTCTTTTATTTCTTTTTACCACAAACTAAAGTCTTCAGTCTGGTGTTTTGTTATCATTTAGCCCCTTTATTTTTTAAATAATTAATAAATTTGTTGTTGTTTATTTTGTATATTTAGCATTTCTTCCAGCTCCAGTGTTAAAAGTCCATTAGAAGTTAAAGTTTATTGATTTCTGACATTATTAAGCCGTTATTATCTGAAAATGGTTTTGAAACAACGTTAATAACTTCTGGAACAATTTATCAACCAGCAACATTTATTACTGTGGCAAACGTAATGGTGACAGCTTCAACAAATATGTTTTTTAATAATATTTAAATAAAGTTACATAGCTTATTGAAAACCACAGATATGTTTGATTTAAAATCGCTTCCCACTGGCTCTGATGTTTGTTCTCTTTGTTCATTTGTTTTTACCACCAATCCGACTTCATGGGATTCAGGTGAACAAACTCTGAGCATGCATCCTGACTTCAGGTGTTCAGACGAAGTCCTGCCCACCTTCTCGCTGCCAACTCTCCGTCACATGATCTGAAATCCCCTTTCCATCGTCTGACAGTTTTCTGTTTCTCTGCAAGCCTCAACTTGAAGGACGAGCTGCAGACGAACTTCTTGGAAACCAAGGAAAGGACAAAAAGTCACTTTTCAACAAACCCTATGCTCTACACAATGGTTTTATTAGCCTCCAATGTTTCTGGGTGTTAACTTACAAGTGAAAAATACAAATGTGTTCGTGAATTATAAAGTATAAGGGAAAGAAACACTGAATGAGTGAGAAGTTAAATCTGTGCAACCAGAATTTTAACTGTTGCTCAATAACATGCAGAGAGAAATCTGGCGCCATCGTCTGTTAACTGTTAACTACAATCTGCTTTCTTCAAAATGTTTATGATTCAAAAATATCAGCAAACTAGGAATAGGAAGAAATAAGGACTACATTTATGGGAAAAAAAAGAAAAACCTTTAGAAATTTTCTGATTAATATCAGAAAAAAAAACTCCAGAAAAATGTTTTTAAAAAATCCAAAAAGTGGAAAATGTTTCTTATTCCTAATTATTGATAGAACATTTATGAGATTAATCTCAAAATTAAATGTTTTGACATATTTTCAACTTTTCAAACATCAGAAATTTTCAAGTTTAATTTTTTTGCAAGGTTTCTGAAATTAATCTCCAAATTTCATTTTTTTTTTGCCATTTTTCAACTTTTGAATCTAAAAGGAAATCAAGTTTTTTTTCTGAGTTTTTCTAGCAAATTTTAAACTTTTCAAAATGACTAATTTCTGTGTTTTTTATAGAAAATTTCTTAAATTAATCTCCAGATGTCTGCGGTTTTTGGCAGAAATTCACTCCTAGTTTTTTCCTCCTTCAGTTCAAACTGGTTATCTTCCAATATGAAGGGATTATTTACGTAAAACCAGCTCCTACTTCATGCTGAAAAGGTGCTTGTTAGTTAGTTTTGTCTTATTTCAAGTGTAGGACGACATTTTCACTAGAAACCAGACAAAAATACTTGATTAGACATTGTTTTTTTTTTGTTTGTTTGTTTTTTTGCAATTATTGGTTTTACTAAATACAATAAAAGTTGCAATATGAATGAAATGTGCTGTACAAATAAACTTGATTGACTGATTGGCATTATTGCATTCTGGTTTGTAAATACATTTGTTCTATATGCAAAAATATCAGTCAGAAACCACTACAACTAACTAAAATGTAATTTCTTAGATTAAATTTTAAGTCTGGAATCACTTCTTCCCTCAGAAAAGAAACTCCCAGCTCCTTCCCTGAAGACTGGAGAAGTAATGACCACAATCAGGTCATCGGTTCTGCTGCTGGCCCACAGCCAGAGCCGTGTCCGTCAGGCGCTGGCCGACGTCATTTATTTTATTGGTTTTTAGGACAGCGGTGGAGGAGAAAGGAAACATGAGAGCCCACCGGGGATCTGCTCTCTCACGGCGGTACAGCAGTCTACTAATAGATTTCACAGCCATCATCTTGGCCCTGCATGCAGCGATCTCCACGTTAAGGAGCGAGAGGGACGCACAGTATTGCACAATGCTGAGTATACACAGCTGTGAACTCTGGCATACTTTTACTACAACACACAGACATAACTCACACTGACTTCTAGTTACATGTGTCAGCAAACCTCTGCAGTCTCTGAGGGCTTTGTTACGGAGCAGGTCGACGTTCTTCAACCTGGAAGCAGCTTTATTCAAAATATTAAGCTTTACTTTTACAAAGTGCATCATCTTCAACCTGCAGACCATTTTTAAACAGTGGAATAATAATTAAACAGGAAAGCAGATGAAATGTTTGAATTATTGCATTTTGCATTGACAAAAAGTCAAATCATCTTTTTTTTAAAATGTAGGTCAAAAAGCTTCCTTGCTCTTTGAACAAAAGGAAAGGAATATTATATTTTATTATGCAAACATTAGTCTTAGAGTTGTTGCCTGATTAAATTTAAAAATATAGTTTCAAATATAAGATATACTGAAAATACAGTTTCCAAAGCAACACAGGCGAGAAAAAAAGAGACAAACATAAACAAATGTTTCAAATAAAATTAGTAGAGTAAAAAAACAAAAAAAATATAATCTTATCTTAATCTAAAGTTAAGTTCTTTCAAATGATGAGCTTTTAAATGTAGCTGAGCTCTAAGCACCTTTTAGCATCAATAGCTGTTAGCTTGGGTCATAAAGTCATTATCTTTAGCAACTGTTTTCCAGTTTTAGTTTAAAAATCTTGACAGCTTGAGTGGCTAATAACTAGCAGTGAGCCTAACAAATCACTAGCCTCAACAGCACCGAGCTTAAGTAGCTCTGAGTAGATGTTAGCTAGAGCAGAATAGCTTCAGTAGATATTATCTTGAATCACTGTTAGCTTAAGCAGCTAAAAATTTAACTAACTGTTAGCATCAATACTTTCAAACGCAAATAGTTATTAGCTTGGGTAGCTGTTATTTAATCAACTGTTAGTTTGAGTTGCTATTAGCCTAAATTGCTGCTAGCTAAAATGCTAAAACGGAAAGATTTGCCAACAAAGTCCAACTTTGGGAGGATTTCAAGTTCATTTTTCCAACTGGGAAGTAGTTTCCAGCATTAGCTTCACTACATTTCAGTTTGTTTAGCTGTTAGCTTATCTATCTATATCCCAGACTAGCAATTCAGTAAGTTAGGTATTAGTTTGCGTAGCTTTTAAATAAAATATTAAGTTTGAGCAGTCATTAGCCTAATAAGTTATTACCACAAGTTGTCATTAGCTTTGGTAACTGTTGGATTATTTTGCTGCAAGCTAAAATAAATGCTAACCTTTAGTTAACATTGCTGACCACTTCAGGGACTTTTACACAGCAAGGTTTAGAATAAGTAGCAGCTAGGTCAGGTTAGCGTTAGCTTGGTTACAAGTTAGCTAAAAGAGCTAATTGGTATTAGCCATTCGTTTGAGTAGCTTCAGTTTGAATAACAATTTTGTTTCTGAAAGTTCATCACTTTACTTACTGTCACAACTTTAACAGTAACAGTAACCTTAAGTTTAGATGCGTAAATCCGAAAGTTTAAAGACGTTTTGTGAGGATGGAGTGAAGTTATAACTCACCTCATAACTGAGTTATAAATAAAAATTTTTTTAAAAAAACACAATAAACATGTTTTGTACTTCAATGTTTATGGATTTCAGGAGTCAATAAGTGGCCATATTTATTGCATTAAATTATATAACTAATGTATGTTTGTCTCATGTGTAACAAATTTAATTAATTGCAAAAAGTAATTTGAATAAGCTCAGCTGCTTTGTGCTGTACGGCACCTTATTGTGTCCAATTAAAATGTCAATTAATCAAAAACATTAACTCTTTAAATAAAATACATAAATAAATCAGGAAAACGGCACATAAATAAACTAATTCACAAATATATCAAATAAAATGTGCCAAAGTACAAGTTTATAAATTGTGCAGAGAATAAAGTAAAACACTGATCCGTTATGCATTTTGTCTAGTGGCTGACTTTGTTTTTTTTATTAAGCATGTGTGAATTCATCTTCTTTTAATCCAGTGTAAAACTAGCTTACGTAAAAAGTTTTTTTTTTTTTGAAATTTCAAGAAATAAATAAGCCATAAATATTTCTCCCTCCTCCTCGAACTATTGACTCATAATAATATTTGCTTTTCATAAATATCTTTTTTGCTCTGTTTTCAGTAAAATATTCAGATCCAGTGAGTTTTTTTAAAGCATTTCTGAAGCAGTAAATGGGATCATTGTGTCCGTTTGCACTGCAAAAACACAAAATCTCACCAAGTATTTTTGGTCCAGTTCTAGTTAAATACAGCAGCGGACCTGAAATAAGCTAAAGAAAACCTTTCAGCAAGATATCAGAGCTTGCAAGTTTATCTTATTTTGTGTGCAATAAGACATTTGCACTAGAAACTGGACCAAAAATACTTGATAATGGTTTATTTGCAGTGTAAAGATGTTTACACTGCTGCTTTTGTTTTGGGTTTTCTTAACACCAGTTTTTAAAAATTCCCCTAACAGCTGCCATATGTGTGGAGTTCTGCTCAGAGGTTCTGGTCCAGCCAGCGAATGTAGTTCCTCGTGCTTCTCCGTCCGACGCTCGACATCATTGGCAGGTTCGCAAACACCATGCAGCCATGGAAACCGTCCTCGTAGTGGTCACTCGTCACCTCGACGCCGGCGTCCCGCAGCCGCCTGACGTACATCAGCCCGTCGTCCCGCAAAACGTCAAACTCGCACGTCATCACATACGCTTTGGGCGTTTTACCCAGAACCTCCTGCTCCGCCAGCAGCGGCGCCGCCCTCAGGTCTACCAGGCCCGGCACCGCGCCCACCACGCCCGGCGACCCCTTCTCCTTAACGACCGGCTTGAAGTTCTTCTTGCGCTCGGCCGGCAGCAGAACGGTCCAGTTGAGCTTGGAGCGGGTGGCGGCGCTGATGGCCCGCTGGTCCAGGGCGCTGTGGTTGTTGGCCAGCAGGTCGGGCTCCAGGGAGGAGTCGGCGCCCAGGTACTGCAGCCAGAAGCGGGCCATGTAAGGCCTGTAGAGGATGGGCACGGCCTGGTTCTGCTGGTACGACGGCGTGTGGAAGTCCAGAGCCTGCAGAACCGGGTAGATCAGCGCCTGGGCTTTGAATTTCACCTGCAGCGAGTCATTCAGGCTGAGCTGCAGGAAAAAAATAAAATACACAAGTTTAGACCCAAACTGAACCGGACCAGTAACAAATGTCACCCAGAAGTTACTGTTGTTTTGAGACAATTTCCAAGTAATATGATGGGAATGGTACAATAATAATAATAATAAAGCAACAACACATTCTCAAAGATTAATAAACTTTAAATTGTAATGAACATTTAACACTGGAACAGAGGACATTTTAAACAATCAAAATAAATCTACAAAACAGAAAAGACTAAAAAATGTCCATCAATAAAAGCGCTGGTTGAGTTACTTCACAGGTTTTCTTGTAATGTTTGAAACCGTTTTTAATGAATGGCTCCACAGACTTTAAGATGTTTCATTGCTGATTCTGCAGACCTTGTACTATTTGTGTTTTTTACCTCCTGCGCCGCAGCAGCAGCCAGGTTTCCTCCAGCGCTGTCTCCGGACACACAGAGCCGCTCCGGGTCGATGCCGTACCGCTGCAACAGTTCAGCAGACAGGAAGGCCCGCGACGCTGCCACGGCGTCGTGGTACTGATCCGGGAACACGGCCTCTGGAGCCAGGCGGTAACTAAGACAGGACAAACACAGCAGGGCAGTATTTAAAGTCTAAATGGCCTGACTTTTCTGGCTCGTGTTCCAGTTTCTGGGCATCTCACTGGTCTCATCGGTTCAACCGTGTCCATGATGACTGAACGAACCCTCCGTTTGTCGGGCGGGACACAAACTCACCGTGAAGTTTAACATAAAAAACCTCCTGTTTCATGAAAGCCACAGCAGCACTGCCGTTAGCAAGGAAAAGAAAATAAACTGAATGAGTTTGCTGATTTAACTCCCAACACTCACTCCACAGACATTACGACGGCGTCCAGATCCTCCGCCATTTTCCGACAAAGACGGTCGTAGGAGCGCATCTCTGCAAAACACAAACGGTAACATTCACAAATACGGAACGTTGTGGCGTAAAAGACAGATTTACTAAGTGCTTTCTAGAATAATTTGACATTTCCTGGCATGTAAAGGAACAGCTGGTGGACAAAAACAGGAGAATGAGGTCACTTATCAACAATGAGGCAATATTTCATGCAAAACAAAAACGTAAACTTTGTTCCAGAAGAATCAGGGAAAAACTACAGCATGTTTCCTACGAAGACTATGACTGATCCAATAAGCAATAAATCAATTGATCACATGATAAATTAGAACAAGAGCAATAATTTCTTCTCTCTACCAAAACCTGGATGATAAAACTAATGTTTTGGTCTCAACTAGATCCTGTTTTAAAGAACTAATCACTTTATTTATCTGTTGTTTTGTTTTTTATTTTGGATATTTCAAATGTCTCCTGTTCCTTGAAGAATATTCATTAAACTTCTGGGACCATTTATCGTCCAACAGAATTTGTTTCGGTCTAAACTTTTAATAAACCATTAAATCTTGAGATGTTTTGTATTTAAGTCTCATTTAAACTGCAAGTTTTCCTAATTTACAGCAAAAAACATCAAATCTAGGATGAACCCACTGGCGCTGCCGAGCGCCCAGCCTCCTCCGTGGAAATAGATGACTCCTCTTCTCAGCTTGCTTTCTCCGTTTGGCTGAAACACGCGGGTGGGGACGCCTCCCAGGGTGGAGTCGGTCACGTTCACCGTGGGACTGGAGCGAGGCTCGATCACCTCCACCCAGGACACCACCCGGCTCAGCAGGTGAACACGGTGGCACACGCCCAGGCTGTGGGCCGCGTCACTCTGAAATGCACAAACAAGCCGTGTTCAGAGTCTGGATTCAGTTATACATACAGAAAGTTGAGTGGAAGGAAAAACGGTAGCACAAATAACACCCATTTAAGAGTGGGGAGCTTCAAACTCCCGACTGCAGAGAGTAGACCCCAAAAATCGTGTTTTTGTTGTTTTTTAAAGCGTATTATTAAGTATGACGTTAGATAAAGTTGATGGGAAAAATTCTCAATTTCATAAAAATGTGTTTACCCTCGCTTTTTTTGAAGTTCTGACGTAACAAATTCCACTCGTTGGTCTGTGCCTTTCACAAAACTTGTAAAAATGTCAAGATTTTCAATCATTCTTTTATTTTTACAGCCAAAATCCTGGATGATTCACGTCAAACCAGAAAATGGTAAAAAAAAAAAATAATAATAAAAATAATAATGATAATAAAATAAAAATGCCTAATTTGTATTTTCGCTCCAGATAATCTAAAAATAATCACCCTGTTGGAAACAAATCCACATGAACTTAATGAAAACTAAATGAACTTTCAGCTACATTTTGTTTTGTAGAAACTCAATGGATGTGAAACCTGCGTGAAACCTTTCACCCCTCTGTTGAGTAACAGGTGAACTCACTGAGCTGGTGCCAAACCTGTCCTAATGAACACACAGGAAAAACATGTTGCTCCAGATGCAGGCGCAGCATCGGTTGCTGTGGAGGCAGGTTCTGTTTCCCAATAAAAACATTAACTGACAAACATAAAAATTCATTATTATCTGATGCATTAACAACTATTTTAATTTTATTTATCATTTTTATTAGGATGCAAACAAACAGTTCCTCTTCACAGCTTAAACAGTTAAATTTGGCTTTCTTGATGCAAAGTAAATATTTGCATCTGTGTCAGTTTGTGAGATGCACAACCAGCCAGTCATTTCATGCACTTTCTCTTCAGTACAAAACGGATTCAGATTAGAGACAGAACTGAAAACTAAGATCATTGCAATGTTTCTGTTGGAGTCAAGAATCCACATGTGTTTTATTAAATATTTTTCCACAGTGTTTAAAACACTAAAAGCATTTCTGCAAGAGCTGAAAATTTCAATTCAATCATCTCAATTAATTCATAATTTACATTTTTCACACGACAAACTCAAATCCCATAATTCTGCAACAGCAAAACCAGTTCTAACTGTAAAAATAACTGAACAGGTGTTTAAACCTCGCTGTTAAAATACTTGAGTCACAATTTATGTACCATTTTGTTGCTGTTGTTGCTCTTATTTTGTATTTTAATCTCCTCAAAACCTGATTTAACAGCTCAACTCAGTTCAAACCACATAAGTGATTCATTATTTAAACTGGCGAGCAGGTGCCCGGTGACCGGACCGCTACCTGTCCGCCACATTCAGCGCATCTCTCCGCCACTCACCGCCCGCATGAAGCTCCGGAACAGCGCGTCCAGCAGCATCAGCTTCCACGGCTCGCTCACGCCGCTCGGCAGCGGCAGGTACACGTAGTAGGCGGCCGCCGCCAGCAGCACGGCCCCGGCCAGACGGAGCCTCATCGCGCAGGAGGAGAAGGAGGAGTGAACCTGCCCGGGAGAATCATGCGGCTCTGCCCGCTGTCAGGTCGCCAACGGCTGGGGAGGAGGGAGCGGGGCGGCTGGGAGACTCGCCAGGGATCGACGAAACCCGGAGGAATGACCCCGATTTTAAAATAAAAGCACAAAATGGCACCCAGAGCGAGATTTCTCACGATGGACAGAACGTCTTTGAGTTTTATTTTGAAATGCTCATATCGGAAGTCATCTAATCCTTGCGTAAGGACTTGTGCTCATGGGAGTTGTAGTTCTATGTGGAAAACGGCCGCCAGTTAAGTCTGTGGCTAAGCTAGCTACAAAAAAGAACCACCAAGCTGGAATGTTTTTAATTATTTAAACTGTTCTGCGTTTGTGACTCATTTAAGCAACCAGAAATTAAAATGTACCAACAAAAAGTTTCTCAGAATAATATAAAAGAAAAACAAACAACCGTAAAAACAAAAATGCGATTGTTTTTTTTACTCGTATATGTTTAACAACCTGTTGTTCTTCTGTGAACCTAATTCATTTATTTGTTCTTTACTTTTACTCAATTAAATTTATTATGTATACATTGCTAATGGTATTTTTTGTTATACTTGATCATGTTGTTTTTCATGTCTCCTTTTTTCTTTTGTTCCTCTTATAATTAATTGATACATATAGATATTATTTATGATGTATCAAAGTATTGTTTATGTCATTTAATTAGCTCTACATCTGTAAGGACATTAAAAAAGATGGTGTTTTATAAGATCATTTTTCTGTTACGGTGCTAGAAATGCCGAAATTAATAGTGAATAATAAAGACTTTGTGGCGTTCTTATTTAATAACGTATTTTTATTAGTTATGTTACCACCTCCAGGCCACCAGAGGCAGCAGCAGACCCGAAAAGATGCGACTAAGAAGCAGATTTAGAAGTACACCGAAAGGTACAGAATTTGTTAAAAATTGTGAGCTGCGCTAACGTAAATAAAAAAGAGAAGTTCAAATACATACAGAGAGAGAAACTCATTCCTAAAGATGAAGGTATAGCACAGATTTCAAAAGAAAATAAGAACGGAAGGCCGCGGATAATATAGAAATAGCGCCCCCTTCACTTCCGGAGTGCAATGGTCCAAATAAGGTATGAGACTGTCAGTGGTCCGGCCCCGCCCCTTTCTGTTTGCTGCAACGAAGTCCTTCTTCAATACTGACCCCTGGGGAACACTACATCAATCAATCAATCAATCAAATTTTATTTGTATAGCACATTTCAGCAAGGCATTTCAAAGTGCTTTACATCATAAACGCAAGAACACAAAGTCATGCATCATACTTGTTGGGCACTACATGTAGTTGCCAACAAGTACATTGCTTCTTGATCAAATAACCTTTGATTGAAACCAGATTTGGGTAATCCCGTGTAGTTTCCATGGCTCCTTTACCCCTCAGCAGGAATCGGTCCGTAGAAAAACCTCAGTTGCCTACTGAGCCGAAGTTCCCAATAGAAGGTCCAGTCCTTCCATCTAACACACCAGTGCTTCCTGTTGAACCCAAGTACCCAATAGGTGGTCCAATCCTTCAGTCCAAACCACCAATTCTACTTGATGAGCCAAATTACTCAATAGGCTATCCAGGCCTGCTGTTCAACCCATTATTGTTTCCTGTAGCCTCAGGGTACCCAACATGATTCCAATCCCTCTCTTTAACCCACCAATTATTCCTGTTGAGCCCACGTATCCAATAGGAGGTCCAGTCCCTCCAGCCAACCCACCAAAGCTTCCTGTTGAGCCCACGTATCCAATAGGAGGACCAGCCCTTCTGTCCAACCCACTAGTGCTTCCTGTTAAACCAAAGTACTCTATAGGCCTGCTGTACAATCCATTATTGCTTCCTATAGCCCCAGAGTACCCAATAGGATTTCCAATCCCTTCCTTCTACCCACCAGTACTTCCTGTTGAGTCAAAATATCCAATAGGAGGTGCAGTACCTCAGGTCAAACCACCACACGTTCCTAGTAAGCCTCCTTGTTCAGAGGAGAGTCCCTTTAGTGTTTGTAGGCCACAAACATTCCCTGTTAAGCCCAAGCACCCTATAATGGTTCCAGTCAGCCACAGCCTAATGCCTTTTTTTCCAAACTTTGGGGTCTGGCAAGGTTCCTGCAGAGCATTTGCATTATGGATATCCAGGATGCGATATAGCAAATGGCCGTTTCTGCAATCAAAGCCCTGCTTCTAGAGCGTTTCAGAAGGTTGGTAATTTTATGAAGAGGAACTTTTACTTTCTAAAGTCTTAACTTATCTATATTTTTCCTTCTAGGTCCAGAAGCAATAATGAGACTAAATCATTCACCTCTTGCAATAAAGAACTCATTACACTTGTTTTCATTTTCATAAAGTGGCTTTAATTTTTATCTACTTTAATAAAAGGAAACCTGCCTGCAAAACTTTACTGTGCTGAACTGGTGTTAATGTGACTAGAACTTTGCATGTTCCAGTTGTTTCTACAGTGTTAAAGGTAAAGTAACAAGACCATGGAGTTGGTTGTAAACTTGAATTTGAAACAGGCTATATTTCCAAGTCAATGCAATGCAGTCCAAACACTTAGATTTTACCCAAGGAGTGAAATGTACCAAAGCAGAAGTATGTTGTCTGTGGCCCAAGAAACTGAGGTCTCCAAACAGCCTCATATTTTTGCTACCCAATATAGTAGCCCAGTATATTAAAACAAGATTATAGGTGCCAAAGAATCCCCAGCAGACTGGCTACTCAGGCAAGCAGTGAGGGGACGATAAACTGGCTCCAGAAACCCTTTTTCCATCAATTGACCAGGTCCACAACTAAACAAGATTGTATTATTGATGCAAAAGTAAACATTTGGTGGGTATTTTAAGTTGCCAGTTTTTTTTAAATCTCAAGAACATTCCTGTGAAATAAACTTTATATTATGTCCCAAGTTCATGAAAAAATGGCTCGTTGAAATCCAACTTGCTGGTGATGGGATGAGTGCCCTGCTTGAAACAGTTAGGGTTTCACATTACAGAAAGCAAATATTCTAATGGAGCTGCTCAATAACAGGCAGAAATCCAGACCAACCAAGGAAAATAAATGCCGCTCCTGAATTGGCTGCTTTGAAAACACCAGTGTGCATTTCAATGGGATATTTCAGTTTCCCAAGCTGCTCTTTCCTTTTGTATTTTAATTGTTTTATGGAAAAACCACAAACAGCCGGGTCTCTGAGTAATTTTGAGTTAAAAATCTGCAAATAGCTACTGGACTCAGACAACCAACAATTATTCAGACTTTGTTCACAGTCTGTGAGGAAGCAGATACAGCTCACTTCAGAACAGATGTTTGGAAATTTCTGTAAAAATTTAATTAAAATTAAATTAAAGCTAACAAAAACATTCAAGCATTAGGGTAAGGGATAACCTAACCCTAACCCTAACCCTACCTAAGTTTGGGGAAACTTGGCTAAATCTAAAAATGGCTAAATCTATGTACAACTTGCTAAATCTATGCAAGTTGTACATAGATTTAGCATTTGAAAATTGTCTAGAATATCAACGGGATCATCTAAACATTGAAGTTAACCACATAGTGTACAGCTTTTACATGTGTTTATTAATTGAACTGAATTAACTAATTAATTAAAACAATGGAGTTTTTGGCAAAACCCTGAACCTATGAGTGAAACATTTTACTTTGCTGATTTGGTCTAACAAACAGGTGTGGTGTTGAAACTAACTACCACCACACAAGGAATGTTTACAAAGTTGAGTTTTTAAATTAAATTACTTTTATTCCTCATAGAACTTTCTTGTTACTCTTATTTGTGTTGTAATTATTATTTTGTGAGTGACTTGAGAATCAGAAAGAATCGACTTTTAGCCGTTCAAACTTTTTCTGACTGGCCATCAGGGTAATTTCTGACAGGAAAACATGCAGTGTGTCCAGATTTGGTGTCCTTCATTCTGTTTGGTGAGCACCATCCTGGTTAACTGCAACAAAAGAACAAAGAAACAGAATGCATCATAAAAAAGTGCCTTCCTCCGCTCCGTTAGGGGGCGCACACTACTGTGATGTGTAAACATGCTCTCAAAAAGGAGAACGGAGAAGCACGATTCTACACCAATCATATTTTAGCATCTCGGCCCTAAACCAATCGGAACAATGCCCATGACTCCAGTGGGCGGGACCAGTGACTGTCGTTGGACGTCATTCATTCGCCTGCTTGTTAGCGAAAAGACAGACCTCTGGGTTATTTCAAGTCATTTAACTGGTTTTAAACGGCTAAAGGTACTGATCGTGTATCTCGCAGCTCCAGTGAGACTAACTTGGAGGTAGACTAATTCAGTGGATCGGTTTAGCTTGTATGCTAACCAGAGGCTCTGACAGGGCAATTATCCGGCTGTCAAACGCAGCCGAACCGGGACATTTCTGGGTCTGTTTCTAGGTAAATATGGCGCCGTTCGTAAGAGAAGTGTTTGTTACTTTCTCCTCCGGTGTTTCAACGTCTCTTTGTCCGCCCTGCTCCACCGTAGCGGCCACCATGGGTGAGGTGGAGCTCTCCTGTCGGGCTTATGTGAAGATGTACCTGCACTCCTGCCTGTTCCCCCGGTGCAGCATCAACGGACTGCTGCTGTCCTCTAGCTCGGCAGGTGGCGCTGTTTGCGTGACGGACTGCGTGCCGCTGCTTCACTCTCACCTGCCTCTGGCTCCCATCACACAACTGGCCCTCACGCAGGTGTGAAGTTTGCAGTCGTGGCCCGTTTCTCAGAAAGGTCCAGGATGTGATGGAGATCCAAAATAAGAGAAGTCTTTCAGTAAAAACGAGAATAAAGTTAAAAATGTAATTTATTTCTGCAATATAAAAACTCCAAATTCAAATTGACATATAATTGGATTTACATTGCTGCATTTTCTTCCCCTCCATCCCCACTTTCAAATGTTATAATTGTCTATTTTCTTTTAGTTTGGAGTATTAAAAATACCTGATATATAAATGACAGAGTATTTGAAGATGAAAATAATAGTGATGTGGTTAAGAAGGAGTAGAGTCACCCAAAAACTCATGAATTAATTTCACTTGTTTATAAGAAAAACTTTGGATGTTCTCTGAGGTTAAAAACCATATTAGAAAAAGAAATTAAAAGACATAACTTGTGGTTAAATGAAAAATCTGCAGAATGTATTTTTATCTGATTAATCAATTTATCAAAATAATAACTAAAATATTTGCAGGCTTACAAAGGTAAGCCTGCAAATATTTGCCTCTTTCATAAGGTTTCATAAGTTTCATAAGGTGAAACTCAAGTTTCACCTTATGAAACTCAAGTTTTCAATAAGGTGTTAATCCACTTTTATTTTTGTGAACAATCTGCTGATTTAATCATTAAATATGTCCTGAAACACGTTTATGAGGCGTTTTCAGCTTTAATATCCTCCTGAAGCTGAACAGAAATCAGCTCATTTACTGAGAAGTTATTCAGACATGTTGTCTAAAATGACTAAACCAGCTGTTTTCTCTCTTCTCCCAGGTGGATGTTTGGTGCGCTCAGACTCAGCAGAGGATAGTTGGATATTACCAGGCCAACGCCTGCGCATCAGACTGCAGGTGAGTTTCCTGGAGGGAGAAACTTCTCCAGGACTGAAGCCGATCCAGAAACCGTTTCAGTGGTCTGGTGTCTGTTTGCAGCCCGACCCCGTGCGCTCTGAAGATAGCCGACAAGATCTCCGAGCAGTTTGAGAGTGCCGTCTTATTAATGGTGACAGAAAATACAGTTTAATGAAGAGATTAAATGTTTTCTAAGTTTATGAGATGGTTTAATGCAGTTGGTTTGTTTCCGTTTCTTCCTGAAGCTCGACGGCAGCAAGATGTCTCCAGATGATCGGGTTCCTCCCATCGTCATGTACGAGCGCAGAGACTCCAAATGGGTTCTGAAGGACAAACACACGTAAGAACTGAGGGGAGGGAGAGTTATAAAGGATAAAACGAGTAGGTTTGGGTTTAAATACCAACTTTTAACAGACCTGTGGGAAGAGTTAATACAGCTTTGAGCTCAGGCATCTGTCCAGCCAGTTCATCCTTTATCTATCAAGAAATAGATGCAGATTCCTTTCAGTCATATCTGGAGGAACTTGGAGGATATGAAATTTAAAATAAAAATCATTTTAAGTGGCTCGAATCTTCAGGAAGCTGCAGGATATTTTAAATTGGAACATTAACTAATTTATCTGTAATGTAGTTCACATGAAAACCAGTGAAAGGAGAGAAAATAATCCAGTTTGCAAAGAGCTGAAATACCTAGAATGGCCAGCAGAGGGCGGACGTGAGGTCAGGGATTCCATCCATCCATTTTCTAACAACCTTGTTTGGATTTAGACTCCATTGTTTTGAGTAGTAGCAGCTTCCTGTTCGTCAGTCTAAAGGACTTGTGTCACTTCCTGTCCAGGATCATGCTGCGGCAGTGGGAGGAGACGCAGGCCATCGCCAGCCAGATGCTGGAGTCGGGCGACCACGCCCTGCTGGTGGACTTCGATGGCCACCTGGATGACATCACCAAGGACTGGACCAATCAGACGCTCAACGCCAAGATTGCTGAACTTTCCTCGCCGGCCAACGGAAACATCTGACGGCGACCCGGTTCCCCCGACACAAACACACACCCAGCAGATTCCTCGGAAAAGTTTTTCCAACAAAGACAAACATGCTTAAATGACAGATTCACGTCTGGTGCCAACCCCAAAAAACGGATCATTTTTTAACAACTAATCCACCTTAAAATATAATTTAACTCCAACAATCAACTTTCTGGTTTTTATTTCTAAACACCTGTATTTCTTTATTGTGTCACAAAATATTTATCCGAGTCGGGATGATGATGATTTGTTTAAAAAATATTTGTTTTATTTGGTTAATTTTCTCATAATTGCTGCATAAATGTCTAATTTTATAGTTGTTATTATTACACTGTGATTAATTACATTAGTAAGAAGTTTTCAACTTTTACAAACCTTAAATGTAACAGTTTTAATTATTGAATATAAACTGAGCTCAAAGAATAAATTTCCTTCTTCAGCTTTTTCTCACCTTGAATTAAAGAAAATCCGCTTAAAATCGATACAAACTAAATGCTCTAAACTTCAGTGCAATATTCCCATATTTACATTTTACACCAACATCAGATGAGAAAATTTCAGATTTAAATAAAAAAAATTGTCAGAATTCTGAGAATTTTTAGATTATTTACGTTTAAGTGATTGCCATTTTCAGTTTCATAATTCCAGATTTTCCCCACATTCCAATTATATAATTCCTTTGTTTTATAAATAAACATACATAGTTGGTATAAATATGACAAAGTATTGGGGCTATTATAGATGAAAAATATAAAAATGACATCACAGGAGTTGATTTTGACCAAAAACATCAGAAATGTTGTGAATTATTTTCACTCATTTGCAAGAAAAAAAACTTCTCTGTTGAAAAGTTGCAAGATAAAAATTTTCCAGGATAAAAGATATTTACAATATTAAAATGATTATTTGATGTATAAAGTCAGAAATTTGTAATAAAACTCAAATTTGTCAAGAATTTTCTAAAAAGTTGTACATTTGTGACAAAATGAGACAAACGACAGAAAGAGTCGAAGCACTACGTCTACAAGATTCACACCTGGATGTTTCCCAGAGTTTAAGGATGAGGACTGGGCTTTTTTCTGGACCAGAACCGGGTCTCCTGGAGACTTTCTGATCCAGGAAAATAACCCAGATCTTCCCTTTGACTCTAGAAAACATCCAGATGTTCATCTCCTAAATCTGCCCCCTCAATCTTAGGTGACTTCTGCCATTTTCTGTCACAAATGTCCAATAAAAAAAAATTGATAAATTTGAGCGTTTTCTTACAAATTTCTGACATGATAATACATTTGTTTTAAAACTAAATTTAAGACTTTAATCACATTTTGAAAAATTTCAACAGCAGAAAATATCCGAGCTTTTCATCTTGTAAAAATGTGAAATTACTCAAAATTTCTGAGTTTTTCTGCTGAAACTTTCTCCTCCATGGCCTCATTTTCATTTATTCTTTTAATCTCCACTCCACTGCCTTTTTTCAGGTATTTTCAAACTTTTATCATGTAAACTGAACAAAAACTTAAGTTGGTGCTGCAATTTTTTTTGAGAAATTATTAAAATACAAACTTTAAAAACTATTTTTTCTTCAACAGATGCTCTGAAGGTGGCATCATAACAACCTCCAGCCAGAAATAATCCAAATAAATTAAAATCTGAGTGGAACTTCTTAAACCAACCTTTAAATAATAATCTACTAAAGTTAGAAATTCCTTAAAGTGAAATAAAAATCTGCATGTTTGAGTAGTTTTACCTAAGAAAACAAGAGGGAGAAAAATGTTATGCTTTTACTCGTTAGCGAATTTAATGCAGTGAATGAGGGAAGATTTAGGAATCGTGAGAAGGAAAAACCATTGGATGTAATTTCTGCTGTAATAATGAAGTTCACAGTGAAAAGTGTTTTATTATTTAATAAAACGAGTGTTTTCAACTAAAACTCAGCTTTAAGATTATTTTATAATCATTCTGGATGATAACATGTAGCTAAAACTATTAATCTATGCTATGATTGGAGTACAGTACAGCAAACATGCCTGCTTTTAACTTTACGGTCCCTTTAAAAGAGTGTCTGGGTTCTAAGCACCAACAGAACAATAAAAACGGATTTATAGAGAAACTATTTTTAAATTTCTCTAAAATGCACAACCTCCGCGCTGTTGGTTTTTCCTGTAGTGTTTCCAACGCACCGATCCCCGCAGGAAATGAAGAAAATCCATTTGTTTAACCCCAAACGTCACCGTTTTAGCTCCAGAGTTCAACAGATTTTCTTTTAAGTGCTTCAAAGTCTTAATTTTCGTGTGCAGAGAAAGCAAAGGCTCTTATTTTGAAAGCTGGGAATGTTTCAGAGTTTGCTTGTGGAAACTCAGATGGTCTGACAGGCGTCCAGCTCGGAGGGCGGCGACGGCACCGTGACGAGGTTCAGCGTGATTTCTCCCAGCGGAGACTGGCTGGCCAAGGTCCGGAACACCGACAGGGTGTTGAAGACGGAGAGCGCGTTCTGGACCTGCTGCTCCGCCCACGGGAGGGAAACCTGCAGGCAGGAGGAACAGGCCACCTTACAGAGGAACAATCAGCTTTTATGCCTCACAGTAGAAAAACTAGACGGAAAAATGTATTGTTTTTAGATTGTAGTGGCTTTATTTTATAAAATCTGACGCTAAACCATCAGAACTGAACTTAAAATGAGATTACTGGAACAAATACAGCAGGAAGTTATCGATCAGAAACACAAATTTAGTTTCAAATAACAGATTTTACAAAAGGAGATTCTTTACATTTCAAATTTATTCCTATAAAATTAAAGGAATAACTAAATTTGCACCAACATCACGAATACTTTGAGATTAATTTTATTTTCTCTAATATGGAAAAAAATGGAAATTTGTGAGAAAATAATTAAATTTACCTTAATCTTAGATGATTTCTGGCACTTTTTTCTCACAAATTTCCAACTTGATATTGTATATTTAATATTTATTTTCTTCTGCAACTTATCAATTTTCCAAATTTTTTATTGAAAATATGAAGCATTAAAACCAAATTGATCAAACTGATCGCCTCTGTGTCCGATCATTTCATCGACGCTGACGGTCCGGAGGGTTTACCTGAGCGATGATCAGTTTGTGAGACGGATCTTCGGTGTTGCTGAACTCTTCTCCAAAACACAGAGTGAAGCTGCACTGAGGAGGCTCGCCGCCGTTGGTTCGGAAAAAGTCCAGTTCTGAGGAAACACCAGACCAGAACCGGGTTGAGTTTTCATTTTTACCTGCTGATGAAGTTTTCCAGGTCAGTTTCAGGAGCTGGTAAAAGCAGAGCCTGAAATATTCTTTAAACGAGGATCCAGCTCATGTTTGGAATCACCAGAGCTTCTGCAGGTTCTACCAACTCAGATTTAAGACCAGAATGGTGGAGCTCCAGCACATTTAGTCAGCTGGTTTTAATGTTTTATTTGTTGTACAATGGCTGCTGTGTTGTTGACTGAATCTCCACCTTTTCAAACAGGTGTGGTTGTTATATTTTCAGCCACTTTAATGTTTGAGTATTTGACATTTGGGGGCGTGGCCAGCAGCAGCTCAGGTGGATTTAAAGTGACAGAGGCCCTGAAACATTTCATTCTGAAAGGAGTTTGAATTGATCAGGCTGAATTTTCATTATCTGAGAATAATTGTGTGCAAAAAGTGTCATTTTTTTACATGGATTTATCCCAACCTGTTCAAGAAAGCATAATAGGTTGCCTTTACAACATGACATTAATGCATTTAAAACCAATTTAATGTTTTTAAAAATAAATGTAAGACTTTTTAAGGATGCAGCCAGTTATACCCTGATCACTATTTAACCCGGCAGCTCAATGGACTGACAATAAAAGCCAGACGTTTAGACTCACGTTGCTTGAAGATGTCTTTGCTGAACAGCAGCACCGACTCCATGTTCCTCTCCATCCGGTGAAGGCCCGGCGTGGTCGTGTGCGGTCCCGTCCAGAAGATCCGGCCCTGGCAGAACCTCCTGCCGTACACTCCCTGCGGCGTGGACGTCAGCGCGATGCCCTTCGCCATGAAGGGCAGCAGGGTGAACAGCGCCTGCAGCTCCTCGCCCGCCGTCAACGTGGACGGCGGCTCCGGTAGCAGGATGCGAGGGAAGCGGCTCAGGGCGACAGGAGTCGGGGGGACGGAGGAGGAGGGCAGATACAAGATGCGGACATCGGGGCCGCTGATCTGACGTTTAAGAACCTCCTGGCCAAGATAATGAACCGTCACACTGAAGGAGTCTTGATCTGTTGGAAACAGGGGGCGGAGTTAACCGAGGGGGCGGAGTTAACCGAGGGGGCGGAGTTAACCGAGGGGGCGGAGTTAAGGCTGCAGGTTTTCTCCTGCTGTAAACGTTGCCTACCTCCTGTGTTGGCGGGGACGCTCTCCTCGATCCGAACGTCCAGCCTGAGCTCATCCAACGCTGCAGAGAGGAGGACAGAAGAAATAAACCAGTTACTAAACAAAAAAACTCATAACGAGGCTTAAAGGTGATTGTGAAATTCTGCAGACAAAGCAACAGCTTGATAACAACCTTACTGTGGTTTTTACAAAATATGTTCCTTCTGAATAACGTCATTAAAGAAACGCATCAAAACAAACAAACATATTTAGTACATGAGCCTCTGGCATCAGAGTTGAGAAGAGTTTAGCCCTTCCTCTATAAAGCACGGTGTCAGTTATTGAGCATGGCAGTGGCAGCATCATGCTGTGGGTCTGATAATGGACTCACTGGTGCACTGGGCGGGTCCTTCTGAAGGGACCGGCTGGCTGTCCTGCTGCTGGTCCTCTTCATGCTGTGAATCAAGGACAGAAGGTTAGTTGTCCACCTGACTTCAGCAGAGCGAAACCTTGACCTTTGACCTGAGCGTCAACCTCACCAGCTGAGAGGCGACCGCTTCAGTTTTGATCTTTTTGACCGGGCAGTCCGAGCTGCTGCTCCTTCCCTTCAGCTTCTTGCTGCTCCTCTCTTTGACCTTCGGCTCAGGTAGCAGCACACCTGGAAACCAGGAGGAGGAAGATTAACAGCTAATCCAAGGGATTATATTCCAAAACCTTTGAGAGACGTCACCTTTTATTTAGCGCAAACTACACAACCTGCTGTCACAATCAGGTGGTTGAAGCAAACGACAGAAAAACCTTCAGAGAGGCGAAAGAACAACTTTCCTCATGATGATGATGAGGAAAACAAGTTAGGAAGAACGATTCAAGACTTTTGCATAAGACGACGCAACACACAGCTCCATTTCACCTGTAGGTAGCTAAAAAGGAAGGAAAGAAGGAAGGAAGGAAAGATAATGAGAAAAAAGTAACTAGAAAAGGCACAAAGAAAAAATAATACTGTAAATTAAGTTTTAGATGATAAGAAGTAAAATAAAGGAAATATTTTTCCACTTTTCATTTAATCCAGACCTGAAATTACTGGAATCCACAGTCAGACTTTCCCAGAGTGCATAGGAACCCTGGATGTCGTCACTTTTTCTCATTTAAAGTAAAAAGCATTTAAAATCTGCATAAAAACAAAGATTAGCTCAAAGTTAAGAATAAAAATGCGATGCAGGATCCTTCAGTCTGACCTTCCTGGTCAGAAGCAGCTGGCATGTAAATATTTGTGTTCTGGTTGCCATAACAAAATGTAAACAAACTGGAAACTCATTAGCATGAATGATCCCAGACAGCAGCTTTACAGCTGACACGATAAACCTCATAACTTTATTACTGATGAAATATTAACGTTCAATGCGACTCCTGAGGTTAGATCCCAGTTAAGCTCTTTGTTTTACATCCCTGCTGTCATCATCATGTTTAACTGCTTCATACTTCCTCTTTCTAAGGCGGCCTTTGAATAAAGCTTCTGAAAAGCTCAAATAACAGCTGAACTTTGACCCCACAGGAGGTGGAAAGGAGGCTTCAAGGACGCAGAGAGAGAGTTATCCCCTACTCTAACATCTTTCTAACCGTACAGAAATTTAAAGAGGAGCGGCAAAAGCAAATGAAGTGGCTCAGCAGAGATGATGTGTCATTTCAGTTAGCATAGTCTGGTTTCAATATGGCGGCGCCCAACTGGCTGCTGTTCGTAGTACGTCTTACGAACATCGTTTCAAGCCGTACTTTCCACCACGTTTTATCTTTTCAGCTTACAGTTTCCGGGATTACATGTAAAATTTATTTTAGACGCACTTCTACTGCTGGAGCAGCGAGAAGCGGCCATCTTGGGTATTGAATTTTCCCGACTCAGAAGCTGGAATTTCCTAGTTCCAAAATGGAACGCAGCATTAAAGAGGAACAGCAAAAGCAAATGAGGTGAATTAGCAGAGCTCGTTAACAACTGATGATGTCATGACAACAGTCTTCAGTCAGAGGCCTCTACAGATTGGAATACTGACTGCTACTGGAGATCCTTCCTACCCAAAGCAGCACTATGATTCTGTTGTTGAACGTTTATGTTTGTAACTTTTCTATTGTGACTTCTGACTGATATCTGAATGAAGAGTGGCTTCCTGTCGGGAAAATAGGAAGTAAGTTTGAAATGAAAAGGTTGCAGATATTCAAATGAGGGTGAGGTGGAGCATCAGCTCCATTTCCTCCTGAATCTTCAGGCCAGCAGTCGACGAAACACCCGAAGCCGACAAAGAGCAGAGAAAACCTCAGAGCAGCAGAGCTCTCGCTCCTGGTTCCTGCTCTAAATAAAACCCTGCTGACTGGTGTGAAAGTTCACCAGTCAGATCTGAAGAATCAGCAGCTGGAGTTTTATCTGGACCAGAACCAGAATCAGAACCAGCTGCTGGACAAACACCAATCGCTCCTGTCAGAGATAAACCTCTGCAGAAACGCCTCTGCTCTAAAAATAGATTGGTTTGTGCAACGCGTTGCTCAATGTTTTCGCCGAACCCAGACAGCCAGAAAACCTGGACCGGGTCAGAACCGGCGCGTGGGTCTTACCCTGCTCGCTGATGGGGACGAGCCGGTACACCTTGTACGGCTCTGAGATGTCCAGCTGGGCGCGCTCCATCACCTCCTTGAACTCGGGGCTCTTGTTGAGGGCGCAGCGAAGACGCGTTTTCCACGCCGCAGGATTCTTCTCTCCGTTCGCCAGCTTCCCTTTGAACTCGGCCCAGGCCTGCAGAACCAGAGGCACCAACGTTACCAAGGATGAAAAACGGATTCATTAAAAAATGGATACATGTTGGAGGGATGGACGGACAGATAGAGGAAAAAACTGACAGATGATGGATGGATGGACAGGTGGATGAACGGATGGATGGATGGGAGAGCAGATTAAGGAACAGATAAACGGATGGATGAGTAGATGGATGTTGGACTTTAAATTCAATCTGAGAATAGAAATATTTTCCAGACTCGGTCCAGTCCGGTCACCAGGTTCTGATCCGGTCCAACTCATCCTTTAACTAAAACCCAAAGTCAAAAAACATCAGGCAACCTCTGACCTTGAAGAGCGCTGCGTCCTCGTCCTCGCGGAAGTCGTGTTTCCCTGCGTGTTTCCATGGGATCCTGAACATTGTTTTGGCCTCATCGTCCCACATCACGCCTGGATACTTCCCGCTGCTCACCTGTCGCACGACAAACGCCAACGTTTGGTTTCCAGCAACGTCTCAAACATCAACAGGAAGTTCCTCCATTTTGCCCGGCGCTACGCTCTGCTAACGGCTCGACAGACGCAGATCTCCAGCTCAGACCAGACCAAACAGAATCCAAGCATCACAATAATCAGAGCTGCAGTTAGATGGTGTTTTAATATAATAACTAAATATTTCAAGGATCAGACTAAGATTTGGAGCAAAGCTGTCAATTTTTGAACTGGATTGAGCTTCCAGTTAGTAGCTTTATCCGTCAGAGCAGATCTGAAATGTGTTTCAGATCATTATCCTGTTGCACGGTTTCAGTTGCCTCAACCGATTTAATTTCTCTGGGTTATTTTAATCCAATTATTTTACAAATTTATCCGATTTTTATCGTGCAATATGATAAAACAAAAAATGAAAAATAAAAAGTAGCAAAAAGTTTCTTAAACTTGAATAAATTTCTGTAAAAAAACGTGGACATTTTTAGATTCATTCCACGTTTTCAGAAAAAAATTCAACAAGAAAAAAATGATGAAAAGAATAAATTTACAATATCAAAATAAAAATTTTCTCTGACCTTGAAAGTCATAAATTTGCATAAATCAAAATAAAAATAAAAAACGCCAGAACACAACAGAATATTTTGGCCACAATAAGAACATTTAAATAAATGATAATATCAGGAGATTAAGTAATAAAGTCACAGTTTCACGACTTTAACCTTGAAATATTACAACTTCACTCTCTTATTATTTCGACTTAATTCTCATATTGACTTGCAGTTATCTAGTTCAACTGCAGGAGAAAAATCCATAGCTATTCATATAGATTTCCAATCTGGGTCACAGCTTGTTGTTTACAATAACAGACAGACTTTAAACCTGGTTTCTGTTTAATGTCTGTGACAGATTTCTGGCTCTGAAAACAGATTCAGGTCAAATAAAAGCATCTTATTAAACTTTCAGCAGGTGGTATTTTGGTTAAAGTCAGTTTTAATAACTAATTCATTTTAACTTCTGAAAATTAGACTTCCGGTTGATATTTATATGACCTCATAAACAGGGACAGTTTTAAGGACTCTATTAAATAGAGACTGATAGAGTCTATTTGCTTCCCCTTCCCTTTATTAACACACACACACACACACACACACACACACACACACACACACACACACACACACACACACACACACGCACGCACACACACACACACACACACACACACAGACCTGGTCCACTATCCAGGAGCGAAGTCTGCGGGTGGATCTCATCCTTCCTGCTGCCATGATTCCCTTTTAAATACATAAACATAAAATAATAATTAGTGACACATTCACTAATATCTAACATCGCTCCACAGGCAAATTTGAACAAATAACTGACTGAAGAAATAAATTAATTTGATTTATGACAGAAATGAGCCGCGTTAACAACTAGAAGTTGTTTTTCTTTTTAAAAGTCGGACAAACAGAGCCGAATTTTGCTGAAATCAAATATCAGAAGCGAATCTCCGCTGCGGTTCTGAGGACTTTATCCAGTCAGAAATAGAAGCTAAAGTGTCAAAATGGAGGAAGTAGGTTTAAGTTTCGTTTACCTGGGTTGTGCTTCCTCAGCGGCGCCTTGCAGACTGAGTGAGCAGCAGCGGAGCAGCGCAGCTCTCAGCACAGCTGCCCGTTTCCTCGAAATCACGTGACTTCGCAGAAACACGCCGCGTCTCCACCGCCAGGGGGCGACAGAAACCCCGCTCAGCCTGCAGCTTGCATAACAACACAGACAAACCCCAGATTTTTTATCCTCAATGAAACTGCAGATCGTTTTAATATGCATTCGTGTTTTAGTTCAAGTTATGACGAAATAATTAGACTTAATCTCTATTTTAATAAAAACCTGACGAGTGGGACACATTTTTCTTATTTTTATGCTTGATCTTGGTGAGTTAGTTGGTTGGTTTCTGCACTAAACACCTTGATTTTTACCAGTTGTTAGTTAAAATACATCATCTTGACTTTGCTGGTTTATTTTGCCACGAGTGTCAATTTTTTTCTTAAATACCTTAAAGTATCCCCTGGACAAGTTCTTAGAAAACCTGTTAAAGCAGCAACAAACGGGTTTTTATCTATATGAGGGAATATTGACTGGTCCTCTGTGAGGGGCGTTGGCAACACGACACTCAGATCTCTACTTCTTCAGATGTCCCAATCAGAGGGACTGGATTTCATCCAGGATTCACTTTCTCCTTGATGTTTCCATGAATAGAAGCAGCAAAGCGAGTCGTTTAGTTAAGGTAACCATTGCTAACATATAAACACAATAACTTCAAGCATAAAAGCTCCTATTTGTGTTCTGGGTTGTTGTGGTCCTTTAATGGAGAACGCCCAAGTGTTTGCAACATGCACGGCTCTTCACCAGAAGTGCTGCATCATCTGGCGGAAATGCAGGGGGTGGAGTCACTGTTTACTCATGACTGTACTGTGGCCTGGCTGCATAGTTACTTTACAGCTTTATTCAATTAAATACGTTTTTACAAAGCCCAGCAAAATACGACATGTCTCATTTTATTTTTCACATTTCTGCCCTCCAGTAACAAAGATAAAAGTGGTAAATAAAAAAGAGAATTTCCTGAATTTTTCCATTTTGAACCATTTATTGATCTGGTTTTAAATCTGATGTTACCATATGAAAACCAAAGAAGAAGAAACATTGAACATCTGCAACCAAATCTAATCTTTAACATCATGTTTTTATTCAGCTTCGTTACTTGAGTATGGAAATAAAACCGTCAGATTCCTGCAAAACATGCAACACAGTGAATTAAACGTTTTAATTAAATCCAATTGAAAAGGCACAAAACGAAAGAAAATGTGCAGAAAATGTTAAAACAGATTGTACTTTAACAAAATATACATATATGGTTCAGTGATTTCTATGGATTAATCAATCAGATTTCAACTCAGCAAAAATAAAAAATCCCACCAAGTATTTTTATTCTAGTTTCTGGAGCAAATGTTTTAGTAATAAGACCAAACTGATAACTTATAGATAACTTATTAGCAAAATGCAGCAGCTTGTTTAAGTGAAGAATTTCTTAATACTGATGAAAAAGTTCTAGCTCTAAATAAGTTATAGGAAAATATTTTGTTAGAGGTGAATTTATCTTCCAGGATACTGAGAACTTTTTCATCAATATTAATGAATGTCTGACTGAAAACAGGCTCCTTTGTGTTAATTAGTAGAAACCAGATGAAGATACTTGGTAAGAGTTTTTTGCAGGGCAGGGATTTCTTCACTTATTTGCTTCGAGGAACTTTTTCTCCAAGAGGAACCTCCATCAGTTTCTGCAAAGCGGAAACAGAACAGTTGGATTAGCAGTGACTCCGGGTTTATTAGAGCAGGTGAGTTTAATCCAGTCTGTCCCCACCTTCAGCTGGCGGGCCCTGAAAGCGTTGTCGTCCTCCCCGTCTCCTTTCTTCAGGTCCCCCAGGTATCTCTGGCAGGCCACATCCAGCTCCTGGGTCTCGTAGAGAACCGCCGGGTCCAGAGAGTGGTCGTTTATCAGGCTCACCAGGTACTCCCTGTAGTGCTTCCTGCAGGACAAACAACAACCTGAGACTCAGAGGGTTTCTGTCAGAGCTGCTTCAGTGACACCTGGAGAAGATTTATGTGAAAATGAAAACATAATCAATCAGAGCAGAAACTAAATGATGACATTAATTTAAAACTTTAAAACCCTGCAGATGTTTTAAACAAACCCCATCGGACCGTCATTTTCTTTTTCTCTTTCCGAAACGTTTTCATTAAATAACTAAAAACCAAAATGAGTGTCAGGAGGAAGAGCAGCTTCACTTCGCTGCAGAACCTCTGGGCTCGATCCGACAAGCAGGAACCGTCCGCAGGTTCTGTCCGCAGGTTCTGTCCGGTTCTGCCGACTCACATGCAGAGCCCGGCTTGGCCCGGCTGGGTCTGGAGGCCGCACGGCGAGTCGGCCGTCTGGCCGCCTTCGTCCTTCTGCTCCATCACGCCGCAGGCGTCTGCGGCACAGAGACCGGACCGTTTAGACGGGAAAACTACAATTATTTCATCAGCAGAACCGGCCGACACTCACCGCTTTGGGTTTCATTGGAAGTATCCGTGTTGAAGGGCACGCCGCTCCGCTGGTGGGAAACCAGACAGGAAATTAATTCACGTCTTAAATTAAACAGAACTCCTAAGAGTTCTGGTTAGCATCTCTTCTGGGGTTCTGGTTCCCCTCTCCTCCCAGTTCAGAGCTGGAGACCCAGTTACCTGCAGCAGAGCCTGAAGGCGGTCTGCGTCCCAGTCCCGAAGGTAGAACAGGCAGTCTCTGGGGTGGTGGGCGTGCAGCCCAGGGAACTTACACTGAGGAATCTTACACTCCATCTGCAGCAGGAACAAACACCAGCATCAGAAACTGGGAACACTGGGACCAGACGGGGGGGAGGGAAGGAGGGAGCAGAAAGTTTACTGGAAGGACAGAAACTACTGAAAATTATAAACAACCAGAAAAGATCCTACTCTAAACATCCTGGAAGGAAGGAAACAGGAAGATAAGAAGGAAGGAAGGAAACAGGAAGATAAGAAGGAAGGAAGGAAGGAAGGGAGGAAGGGAGGAAGGAAGGGTCAGAGGAGCGCCACGCCGCGTCACTAGCTCCGCCCAGGCTGCTGAGTCACCATGGGATCCCACCTTGTAGTACGGGTTGTTGCAGCCGCTGCAGAACTGGTGGCGGCACTGGGAGCAGGTGAAGTGCATGCAGCCGCCTTTGGTCAGCGCGTACTGGAACTTACACTCCGGGCAGGCTGCAGGAAAACACACACTGGTCAGATCAGATCAGCTTTAACTGGGAACACTGGAAAAACACAAAATATCCCCAACTAGTTCTGGTTTAAACATCTTATGAACTTTAAATAGGACAAAACTAACTTGTTTTTATGGAGCCCCTTGTAGACACGGGGAAATGTTATTCTTAGCTTCTTTGCTAAAGAAGAACCTAGAGTATTGTATCCAAGTATATTCCCAGAAAGTTGAGTGGAAGGAAAAAAATTACATTTCTGTAAATCTATATGTGAGTTTCATGATATTTGAAGATTTTAAGCTGTACCTGTAGACTGAATGAATGTTTTTCTCCAAGCTAATCGCTGCGTTCCTGCTTGCTGATGCAGCTGGGTCGTACTTACTGATGCCGTTGTCCCTCAGGTAGCCGGCCAGGCCCTGCCTCTGGTACTCCGGGTCGTTCTCCCTCTTCCACAGCTGGAACTGCTCACAGGAAACGTCCTGGTGCTGAGGCTCCCACTGGAAGGGAGGCACAGCGGCTGAGCGGGGGCCATTTCTCAGATAATTATCTGCGCTAAGGAAGCCGAGCGACTCCCACACACATTCCTGCCGAGGTCAGACTCACTGGTTTCTTGCACTGAGCGCAGAAACTCTTGCGGCAGGACGGGCAGGTGACCTTCAGCTGGTTTCCATCGTTGATAAAACCGGAGGTGCACTGAGGGGGAGCAAGAGAGAGTGAAATGTTCTGCCTGTCTTCTAGTTTTTCTTTGATTTTATTGCAAGTTTGTGATAAAACTGCATCCTGTTTGCTTTTCATTTAGTTTTAGAAACAAAGAACTTGGTTGAACAGGTTAGGATCGGTCTATGGCCTATACAAAACATGCTAAACACAGTTTTTGGACAAAATAGTGAGTTTTTAGTCTGTTCAGTTCTGCCTACTTTGTTTTTATTGCATCTTATCACTTTAAATCCGAATAATGTTGCTGCTTGCCACAACCCCCAACTCAACGTTTACACTTACACTTGGAAATGGATGCGCAGCTATACAACCGTACACCTTTGAAAAGCAGAAGTGGAGCCTCATGTGCAACCAACAAGAATGAAGCAAGTGGTTCCTGGATGATAAGTCAACCACAAAACTCTTTCTTGTCCAGCAGCCATTGTGCAGCACAGCTGACCAAACAGCTGAAGCTCAGTTGCTAGGCAACGGGTGGAATTCCGCTGGGGTTGCTAGGTAACGGCCTGCTGATGTGTGATGTTGCGTTTCTATGGACTCGTTGGCCAGACGCTAAAAACATTAACTTACTGTCAGAGTAACGGCTGGGTGTGTTTTTTAAGCACAGACTGTACCAAAGGAAGCGGATTACGGCGCAAAGGAATTCTGGGTAAACACAATCAAAACAAACGTGCTGCCCTAGCGCTAAAGGCAGAAATGTCTCGTGGTCTTTTGCTAAAGTGAAATCCTCCAACCACTAAAGTCTGTTGCCTCTCCATTTTTGTTTGCATTTCATGAAACAGGAAGTTCTGCTCAGTGTCTTCTTCAGAGGTTTTAGTGTCGTTTCCTTTAGTGCAGCGCTCCCCTCAGGTGAGGAGGGAAACAGGTCGATGAAAAGGTTTGTTTGGTTTCGCTCAGTGCAGTCAGACAGTGAACTGCAGCAGCTGGAAATGTAATAAATGTTGCAGTTTTAGTCTGAAATCAAACAGAATGTACTATACTATCATTGTGCTCTTTGTTTTATTCCTGATAGTGGATCTAGTTACCTCACTTCATCAACAAAAAACTAAATCTAAGTAATTTTGGTCTAGTTTTTAGTGCAAATATCTAAGTACACTTGAAATAAGGCTAAGCAGTAACTTTTCAGCACGATATAGAGTCCTGTTTTAAG